AAAAAAAATCTGTGCCAAAGCGCAGCTTTCTATCTCAATTTTAACACGTGCCGCAGAGCACTTGAATTTTCCTATTAAAATCAAATAGCAAATGATTTTAGTATGAACACAATAGCTATCGGAAAAATTTGAAACTTGGCAATTCTCTTACTTATAGTTGTACCTATCTTCTGAAATTTTTATAGATTCTTATCTACATACTTTAAGTTGCAGGGTGGTCGATGAAAATAATTTTTTTTTTTTAATTTTTTAAGCAAATAACAAATGATTTTAGTATGAATGCAATAGCGATCGGAAAAATTTGAAACTTGGCAATTCTCTTACCTATAGTTGTACCTATCTTCTGAAATTTTTATAGATTTTTATCTACATATTTCAGGTTGCTAGTGGTCGATGAAGATAATTTTTTTTGATTTTTGAAAAATCAAAGGAATCTTGTTTATTTATTTTTTTCTATAATTTTGTTTATATATTTATTTATTTATTCGTAGTCTTAAATAAAAATTCAATACTTTTATAAAATTATTTATTTCAAAAATCTTTCATGAGTGTCTCCTTTTTCGCATCGGAATATTTTTTTTTATATTTTTTTACTATTTGGACAATAAATTGTTTCTGATCTTTGTTTTTTGTTAAAATATTATTATATTCTGATACTAACTGTAAAAAATTAAATAAATTATGTTTCTAGCTATTTTTTTATATTTTGGCAGGATTATATCATGTATAATTTTGACATTGATAAAATTGTGATGCAAAACTATTGGCGCTGCGCTCAACGGTCGCAACGCATGCTGACTAGAGTCCTCTAATGATGACTAGTGGCGCTGCCATCGTTGAGTGCCAGTGCACTCAACGGGCAGCGCTACTAGTCCGCATTCGTATACGACAAGTCGCACAACAGCCACATCGTTACTCAAGATTCATTGAAACAGTATTTTTATAATTGTTTTAATTGAATTTATTAAATACATACCGTATCTAATTATTCAATCCACTTCTACTTATTGTGAGGAACCCATCCAAAATCCCACGAGCAATTTGCACTAGTGCGTTCTAGAATTGTGATGATATATTAATCGTGCGCAACGCATGGTTGAGTTATAACCTCAATAAAACACGTGATACCGAGAAGACTTGTCTTATTGCCGTTGTTTAAATTGTAGATAAAAATCCAAATTTTCATATAAATATGGCTTCAAAGGATATATTACGGCAAAATATTTATTTAATTGGAGATGTGGATGCGCAAATACTTGGGAATAAATTGCCATCAAAATTGCAAGTTTTGAAAGTTTTGTTTTTTTATCTTTACATATTAAAATCAAAATTGCAAGAAAGTGCACAATTGACAATAGATGAAGTTACAGTTTTTTGGGGAAAGGCGGGTTTACCAATCCATAGGTCAGATTATTGTGTAAGAAAATTAACAAAGTTATACGAAGAATGGCGATCTCTACAAAAAAAAAAAAACAAAGGAAGACCAACTAGTGTACAAAACAAGAAAAAATTTTTGTCATTACTACAAAATTTATTTGATATAGCTAGTGCAAATATCCTCGAAGTTATTAATGACATACAAAAAGATTTTTTTTGTTGAATCAGAGAAAAGATGGTAGGGTTGGTTACATCGCGGATATTGAGTCAGAATATGATGCTTGTGAAAGAGAAAAATTACAACAAAAAGAATTACTTTTACAACGATTGAGAAAAAGTGAACAGGAGAAACAACTTCTAAGTAAAATTATTCAATATATTTTTAATCGTTTTCAACCTACTATTTCTCTTGAAAAATTAATGAAATAATAAACGGCAGAACGTTTTACAAAAATCCTATAATTTTTGGTAGAAAATATTGTATTTTATTTTTAAGGTGACTTCATAGAATTGGCGTCAAGTGGTGAAAGTCAAGGGACGAAATCTTTGAGTCAATTGAGTGTTACTTATTCGAATCTGTCAGAAGAATTTATCATTCCATAGAATGTCGAATATCAACCAGAAACTGGACCATCACATTCTAAAAAACGAACTCGAGGAACAATAAATATCCTTAATTATAAAGTCGTTGCGGTACTAGATAAATGTAAAGTTAGTGACAGAAATGCTGTACATTTAATTGTTGCTACAGCTGGTTCAATGAACTATGACATAGAATCTTTAATTATAAATAGATCGTCGATTCGAAGATATAGGGAACAAATACGCGAGGCAAAATATATCAATTTTAGAAAAGTATTCAAAAATGTAAATTTAAAAGCTGCAGTTATACACTGGGATGGAAAAATGCTTCCGAGTATGCTGAATCGAGAAATGAAGGAAAGATTACCAATTCTTCTCATTGTCAGTGATGGTAATGTAGAAAAAATCTTAGGCATACCAAAGTTAGATGATGGAACGGGAAAATCTCAGGCTGCTCTTTTTAAAGTTATTGTTGATTGGGGTTTACCTGAATTCGTCAAAGCAATTTGCTGTGACACTACGCCTTCCAATTTAGGCCGTAAAAATGGTGCTGCAGTTTAATTTGAACAGTTATTAGAAAAAACGTTACTGTATTTGCCATGCAGACA